CTTGTTCTAAGTAGGTGCTTTAGACCACTGAGCCATCTCTCCAGCCCCCATGTCTTATAAATTCTTAATTGCCCAGAGTTTAAACTTGTAATCCTCATACCTCAGGGTCTCAGAACTTATAGGTATACATCACTGCTTAGCTAGGAAGCCTGTTTTAATTTTTAAAAATGCAACTATGAATAAAGGAGAAGAGGGATAACCTGGCCTAGCAACTTGGGAACTGTTTCATGGAGCTTTCTTTGGCTCTTCCACACTTCTGATGCCCTTGTTTTAGGACCTCAGTTCTAATTTGCAGAACCTCAGTTCATCTTAGCTTAGAAAAAATAATAGAATGTATTGTCTCATTTATGAAAAGTCCAGGGATGCCTTCAGGTACAGCTAGATCTGGGCACTTATATATCATTGGCATGTCTCGTGATGCCATCATTCTCAGGCAAGCACTTTCCAAGTCTTTGTGTGTGTGTGTGTGTGTGTGTGTGTGTGTGTGGCCAGCTCAGTCCACCCAGGGATTGAACCGTGATCCCCATGCACTTGCCTAAGCAGGTGCTTTAGACCACTAAGGTATCTTGTCAGCCCCGTTTCCCAAGTCTTGACAAATCCAAGATGACATTCCACCAAGTTAGCAGAAAGAGAACACCTTTTTATTCTTGTACAGAGCTCTTATACACTGAAAAGTGGGATAACCTTGGCATAGACACATGCTAGCTTCTTCTGTAGCCCTAGCTGTCTCTCTAAGCATATTCCAGCACCCTACCGTGACATGGAAGGACACAAAATCCCTGAGGCCTGAGGCAGCTGTCCCCAGTCTACAACTGGTGAGTCAGAGCTAGAGTCAGAATCCCGGTCTTCATACTCCCAGGTCAACATGGTAGCTGAGGCTTAGTTATTTGTCCCAAATAATGTGACTTTAGCTAATGTTTCCCACTGGATTCATAGGTCAGTGTATACATTTGAATTTCAGTCTTAGTTTGGGTAGCTCCTCTTTAAACAGAATGGGGACTGTCAGGAAGCAGTGCCATGAAACACTGAAAGGGACCCCCATGGACAAGACTGAGAAATAGTGCCTCTATGGCTCACATTTTAGAGATTTTTTTAATTAATTAATTTATTTATTTATTTTGTTGTGTGTGGCCAGTTCAGCCTACCAGGGGGCGGGACTGGCTGGCATGTGGTGCTGGGGATTGAACCGTGGTCCCTGTGCTTTTGCTGAGCTTGTTCTAAGTAGGTGCCTTAGACCACTGAGCCATCTCACTAGCCCCACACATTTTAGAGATTTTTAATGCAGTTTTTCTCAAAGATCTGAGAAATCCTACAGTACAGAAATCCATTGGGGAAAAAAAAAAAAAAAAAAAAGAAATCCATTGAATGATTTGAACCTAGCATTTCCCTATCTTATTTGTGTATGGAGCCCTTTCCACACCCCTTTTCCTTCCTGGAAAACTGTCTTTCTTCTCAAGCTCCTAGCCATGTAGCTTTCTGGGAAGCAGCAGGGCTGGGATCAGCACCTGTGCACCCAGCCCACAGACTCAGGTCATGTGACAGGTACACCCAGAAAGACTGGATCTCTTCTCTGAAGACCTTAAAACTCAGAACCGGCAGATGATTATACTGAAGCGTGAAATGGTAAGAGGCCCTGGACCTGGCCTCCCTCCCTGGGGTCTGCTGTAGGATGGGGTAGAGAAGGAGCATGGTCTAGAAAGGATTTTGTAAATGTAGAAGGCACTCTGGGTGATGAACACCTGAGAGCATCACATCTCCTGTTCTCTACCCTACTCTATAGATGTCTCTCCAAAAAAAGATCCATGCCATCCCCAGCTCTGAGGATGTGGTGCTCTGGTCTGGCCTCCACGAGGCGATGTTCAACTCAATGAGTGGAGGAAGAGGAGCTGGGTCTAGCACATGGGGAGCTGGCCAGGCCCTTCTTCCTCAGGTGGCTGGTTCACTAGAGCTGGAGCTGTCCAACACATTGCAGGCCGTGGCACCACCTCTACCGGCTGCCATTGCCCAGACCCAGAACCTTGAGGAGGTTAGTCACACCCATGTTACAGAGCCTCTCCAAGGTCCCAGGCTCCTACAGGCTTCCTGGCACTCTGATGTCCAGCTACCCCTACCAGACCAGGAATCTGTCCAGGCACTTCCATCTAGCAGTGCCAAGGGGACAGGCCAGCCTCAGGTGTTAACCCCTGGGCCTGGGCCTGGACCTGGACCTGCAGCTGGATCTTCAGCTGGACCTGCAGCTAGATCTTCAGCTGGACCTGCAACTGGATCTTCAGCTGGACCTGCAGCTGGACCTGCAGCTGGACCTGCAGCTGGACCTGCAACTGCACTGGGACCAGAGTTCCAGTCCATGGCTACACTAGCGCCCCCTGTAATTCCTGGGCTCATCCCACCACCTTTGGTGAACTTTGGACTTGGAACTGGCCTTTTGCCTTTCTGGGCTGAAGGCTTAGTCCCACCTAGCACAAGTCCATCAGGTCCCCAGCAGTCTTCTCAGCTCCCGCCCTCCAGGGCGCCACCCCCAGCTCGGGAGTTTGGATCAGCATGGCCTTCTTCACTGCAGCCTTTTCACCTTCTCAGGGGAGAGGCTTACCAGCTCCCCATGGTTGAAGAAAAGGGGGAAAAATATTATACTCACTATGTGAGACCAACTCAGGAGGGAGCCCCCAAGGATGGGGCACCCAAAGAGAAAGATGGGGTTCCCAGGGACAAGGCCCCAGAAGTACGATCTAAGGGTCCCAAGTCTGCCCTGCATCGGCTGAGAAACACTGTTGCTGCTGCCACTGCTGCAGCTGCTGCCTATGCCGCTGCTGCAACCTCAGCAGCCCGGACAGCCAGGGCTGCTGCAAAGGTCATAGACGATGCCCCTGCCACCAAAATGGCTACTGAGGCAACAACTATGGCGGCATCTGGGCCCTTAGGGGTCTTTGCAGACATCCTTGGGGCAGGGTCTTCCCGTGGAGCTCTAGACTTTGCAACCTTTGGTGAGAGGCATGAAGACTTGCTGGCAGACTATGAAATAGTCTCTCCTCCGCACACCCTGGGCCTCGGCATTCATGAACCAGCACTGTCCCAGGCTATGCTGGCTGCCTCACAGGCCATGAGCTCTGAAGACAAGAAGAAAGCCGTCAAGTATTCCATGAGCCACATAGCACAAATGCCTGTTAGACATGACACCTTGAAAGAGGAGTTTGCCCAGCTGTCATCCAATGTGCAACAGCGCTTTGATTATCTAGGTAGGTTGGAAAGGTGGGGGGAGGGCAGCGAGGAGTGAAACTTCACATAGCTAAAAGGCTGGGTGTAGTGGTGCATGTTTGTAATCCCAGCACTTGGGAGGCTGAGGCAGGAGGATCAGCTACATAGTGGACTCAAGACCAACCTGAACTATACAGTGGCACCCTGTCTCAAAAAGCAAAACAAAAAAACACAATATCCTTGAATACAGGTATAGCTATGATTGGGATATTAGTAACTTTAAATTTAAAATATGAAGCAATAGCAGTCTAAATTCTACATCTGACTGCTCTCAGTTTTTGTTAAGACGGTTCAAACCTTGTCTTGGCTACAGTTTTTCTTACATTCTTGGTTGTATTACGTATATGTTTTTTTGCTTCACCAGCCATTCAGCAGTGACTGATACAAGTCACAATTTTTTTTAAAGTTACCCCCCCACCGCCTGCCCCTGGGGTTTGCTGAGACAGTGATTGAGACTGGGTATGGTGGCGTGTGCCTGTAATCCCAATGCTTGGGAGGCTGAAAACAGGAGGGTCACTATGAGTCCAATCTGTGTAGTGAGACCCTGTAGATCCTGTACTAAATACATTAAAATAAATAAGTAAATAAATAGTTATCCTCTTCCTTTCTTTTGCTAAATATATGCTACCCACTTTTAATCTTGAGGAGGGATAATACACTTCAGAGAATTTAATAACTAAGATATTTCAGGGCTGGGGTGGAGCTCAGTAGTAGAATGTTTGTCTAGCATTTGCAAGGGCCTGAATTCAGTTCCCGGCATCACACACACACACACACACACACACACACACACACACACACATATTAAAATAATATACTTCATAGTCTTTGCCCGAGGTCATTCCTTGGTGTTGGGTAGCAAGTTGTGAAGCTTCCTTAGGCCTTTGTTGTCTGATGGGGTCACCACAAGCTACATGTGATATGGAGCTCTGAAATGTGGTCTGCACAAATGCAGATGTGGCCTACACATGAAGCACACATGAGATATGAATAACTTACTTAAAAATAATACAAGTTTTCACTAATTTTAGGGGGCAAATCTCAGTGGCAGAATGTTAACATAATACATGAGAGAACTTTGCTTCAATCTCCAGTACCAAATATATAAAAATATTATATATATATATATATATATATAGTAGAGTGATACTGCTTAGGATACATTGGGTGAAGTAAAATATCTTATGAAAATTAATTCCACATATTTTAAAAAATATTTTTAAGACTGGTGAGATAGCTTAGTGTTCTAAAGTGCCTGCTTAGGCAAGTTTAGACAGGTGCAAGTTTAGACAGGTGTGGTGTTGGTGTTCAGTCCCCAACACCACATGCCACGCCAGC